CATGTAGATTGATGTTTGGAGGAAGAAAATGCCTGCTGTAGATGGGGATGAGGTGAGCAGTGCGGTAGATTGTGTCCACATGTATGATACTATGTAAAGGTGCACAGTTAGCACTGTATGCTGGACAAACCATCCACATCCCAGTATCTTCATCAGGCGAGTCTCCAATGACATCAAACCAGTGCATGATGGTGCACAGAAAATTTTCACCGCTATATTTGAATGAAAAGAAGGTGTGGACCCTTGTGACTTTGAGTCCTCAGATGCCTTCTGTACTGGATCCTGTGCTGATGAAAATGCAGTCATTGCGTGGAGCTTCATTCTGCCACAAAGGGCATGCACAGATATGTTTGACATGCATGCCTCTGATTCCACTAATGTCACTTGGTGCATAGAACCTTGAAGACACAGAGTTAAAGAGGGAGATTTTCCCTGCAAACCTAGGACAGCCAGTGAGGGGAATTTCTGCTGGATTTTGGTCATCATCTGGCCTGTGCATCTGCTCAAAAAGAAACCGGCAAATCAAATCAGGAAAACAGGGAAGTTCCAATTCTTCAGCTAGTGCCAATACATCGTGAGTGCGTTTTCTTTCTGCATAACACAAAGCTTTAGTAGACCACACTCAGGAAGATAGACATGTGTAAATGCTACCCATGAACTGTCTGTGCTAGCCATGTGTGTGCTTGTAAAATGGTTAGTCCATGGTCTACTGCTACCGGTGCCTCATCGGCAACACTACTGGGCAAGGGATGGACTTGGACATTGGGGTTGTTGTTGCTATCTGTATCTGCAAGGCCTGTCATTGTCAATTAGCAGTGCGGACAATAACAGTAATTGATTTTAAAACTTACTGAGAGCTTCAAGTTCTGCTGCAAGACAAGTATTGTCCAACATCTTGTGATTGGTGAAGTCAACACATGCAGCTGCCAGCTTATTGAGATGCTGGTTAGCAACTAACATCTGACTGAGTGCTTTGTATTTGCTTGAGCACCTCCATGGCTCTTTGACAGCCTTGATATGCTTGCTCTCGGTGATAGACGAGCAGAGTCCATTGGGAGCACCAAATTGCTGAATAAGGTAGGCATAGTGGACAAGGGAATGTTGGCATGGCAGCGAGAAGGTGGGAATTGTGCAGACTCTGTAAAATTGTGCAGTAGTGATGATAACAGGAGAGGGCATCTTCAATCTCATCCAGAGTGCTCTCAGTGATGGTATTTTGGTGTACAAGGTAGCAAAATTCTAGAAATGTGCAGAATGCACAAACAATATCCTGTGGTACATGGCCCTCAATTGCAGCCAAGTAAACCTGAGTAGAAACAATATCTCAGTGAAATGAATTCAAAAAAAGTATTTTTACCTTCATGAGGGCTTTCAAGTTGTCCCCCATCCACTGCTTGAAGCCCTGCCCTTGTAGGAAGTGGTGCAGGCCTGCAAATGAGGCAATAGCTGCTATTCTTAAGCGAGAGGGAAGTTAGTCAAGGCATCTGTCATAAGCACAAATGATTCGAGTGCAGCAGCACAGCACCAGCAGCAAAATGTAAATGACCCACCTGTGGTCAATGTCATCTAAGATGTGGAGGCCATTGCATTTTCCATGTGTCTTCATGATATATAACTCCACCCAGGCTACAAGGTGGTCCTTGAAGGCACCCTTAATGACTTGATGCAAAAGATTGGGGGCAATCAGGTGGTAAATGTTGGCTTGTGGGAAGTCGTTCGTGAATGGCTAAAGTATGTGAAAGTTAGTGAAGCCCACCTGACAGGTGGAAATGAAAGACTTGCAACAAGATTGCTGATTATTCCAAACTCAAACCAGAGCTGTGTATATGTGCCAGTGTTGATGAGGGCTTCAGTGTGGTCATGGCATCAAAGGAGTGCATCTGCATCAAGGTTTTTATGATGTGCACAGCATCTAGACTCAACTTAGTCCCAATGCCTGGAAATGACACAAATGGAATCTTACCTTGGACACCAGTGACTCACTATACACACAAGGAGCACTTGCTCCTCATAATCTGCTATGTAAGGCCCCAAGCCATAAATCACCTGCCAAAAATGCCCATTTCCAAACTTAGCAACTTCTGGCTTTGTCATCACTGGCCTAAGGGTTTCGAGTATGTGGGAGAGTGATGAATGAAACAACTGGTGTCTGAATGCATGAAACTTCGGATCTTCAGCATACTCCTTCATTGCTAGATAGTTGAACTGTGTGTTAGCAAGTCATGATAGATCAGATATAAAACCCTTACTTTTGGGCATTGCAAGGAACCCAATGATAGCTACTGCATCTTGATGTGCATGTTGAACATTGTTGTGTACATTTCCTATGGATAAATAGAGCGGATAATATTCATTATTTCTGGTTGCAACTGAAACTGTTGTTTCATTGCTGCTGAGGATGATGGGCATGAATGTTGAGCCAAGTGTCTCTGGGTCTCCAGTAATGATGTCCTGTAATAGGCAGCATTAGATAGTCTTGAATAAATGTTCAATGTGGAAGATGAAGGGGTAAAAATGGAGAATTCTGGTAGTCTAGCGCCATGAAAAGAAGGGGCAGGGAAGAACAGAGAGTTCTAGTAGTCTAGCACCCTAATAGATGAAGGAACAAGGGGTGAAAAAGGAGAATTTTGATAGTCTAGCACCATGAAAAGAAGGGGGAGGGAAGAGTGGAGAGTTCTGATAGTATAGTGCCCTAATAGATGAAGGAACAAGGGGGGTGAAAAGGGAGAATTTTGATAGTCTAGTGCCGTGAAAAGAAGGGGGAGGGAAGAACGGAGAGTTCTGGTAGTCTAGTGCCCTAATAGATAAAGGAACAAGGGGTGAAAAGGGAGAATTTTGATAGTCTAGTGCCATGAAAAGAAGGGGGAGGGAAGAACAGAGTTTTGGTAGTCTAGTGCAATCAAAATGAAGCACTTACTGCCTGGTCCCAAGTCCAATCAGCAGACATGAAATCCTGAAACTGATGCTCATCTCCATTGGTAGAATATTTGTGATAGGGCTGATAGTCCATTTCATCAGAGTATGTGGGATTTGCTAACATTTTGCAAACAACTTCCCAAGGATCTCAGTACCAAACATCATAACTCCCATCCATCCAGGGTGGGTAGTTTCCATCAGGCTTCTCATCTGAGTATGTGCATGAGAAACCCTGCCACTTCACCCCCCAAAGAAATTGAATCAATGGTAGCATAAAGGTCGCAATGATCTGCAAATGGTGGTGAATTGCTGTGTTTGAGGAGTGTAGTTGCCCAAAGGTTTAACAGACAATCAGCCTGATTAGCTGGCATCTGGTTTTGAATGTAGAGAAACTCAGCTGTTTTGAATTCAACATGGTTTCTGAATGGGGTCCAGTCATTGCATGACCTGGGCTCAGCAGGTGGAGGGGGTGTGCCATCAGGAAGAAAATTTCCATGCTCGTCACATGGGCGACCTTCTTGCTGGTCAGACTACTGGAATGATGAATAGCAAGTCAAACAAACTCACTGTCCAAAAGGGTATGGTGATTTTGATAGAGTGAATCTCTGGGCCCAAAAAACTTTGCATGTATGTCAGGTAGAGGGGAGGATCTTGGTTCCTCAGCAGCAGGATCCAAATAGTCCAAGAAATTGGCATCATCGGGAGCATCCTGGAATATACCAGGCTCTACATCTGCCAGACCATTCTTGTAGTCCTCTGGAGGTGGGAAAGACATGATAGGATGGGCAGAAAGGATGTGCTTGGTACATCCAGTGGTAGTCTTGAAGTATCACTTGCATCCTGCATGTCCACAAGGGACTTGGAAAGCATTGAACTGTTGCCGAGGAATTTGTGTGTGATCATTTTCTGACATGTAGCCCAGGATAACCAGCAGAAAAATGAAGAGAACAAGGGCTAATGACCAGTGTGATGCCCTCCACCACATTGTGGTTTGTGATCAACTTGTACACCTTGAACCTTAGTAATTACATTCAATTCTTTGTTTGGCACAGCATCAGACCAACTTACACATTCATTTCCACTGGTGTGGTAAACTTCACTCTTCAACCAATAAACATCTCTGCTGCTTGGAATCACTGTTTCCTTTCATGTCTCAGTCTATGAAGTGTGTTACTTGCACTAAAAATGCCAGCACTCACCCTGGTCAGATAGTGCTTGATACACAGCCAAAACACCAGACTAAGGCAGCAAAGTGTTAAGGTCGTACTCAAAGGATAATTAGATCTGAAGGGCTTCAGCCTCAGCTCGTGCGCTGTGCCCCTTACCTGAGTATTGCCCCTTATTTCAGGAAGGCAAGACTAGCGCATCCGGAAGGTCAGATGAGTAGTGTAACGGATCCAGATGACTTCTGGATGAGGGATAAGTATCGTAGGGCTAATCTGGATGAGTCCAGACTAGAAACTAACAGTAATGGACTGTTGGGGACAGAGGCAGATATGGATAGACTATAGGAATCAATCCTAAGTCTCGGAGGGTGACAAGAGTAGAGGTACTCAAGTCTGGAGGACAGGAATGAGCAGAACTAAGATGATATTCAAACTGAGGTACTACAGAAAGTTACAGGAGGTTATATACTATAGGTATCTAATGGAATGATCAATCAGCAGAGTCCGAGGCTATGTACAAAGCATGTGGATAGTCTATTGGTAAGTAGAAATGGATCACAAATCATGAAATGGAAATGAAACATAGGTAGTGGACAAGGGAGCAGGACGGATATACAGATAACTGAAATACCAGAGTTAGGGGGTTACTGAAAGGAGACGAGCGCTGGTTGTGGATTTGGATGAGTTGTGGACTGGACTGGACGAGTGGAACAGATTGTATGACGAGATGTTGGAGGGAGATAAGATGTGGATAGGATCAGAGATAAGATGTGGATCTGAGAAGAGATAAGGGTCGGATCTGAGATCCAGATATGTGGATATGACACAAAGGCAGCAGATGACAGGCACTTACAGGAAGCTCAGGAAGCCAAGGAAGCTGAAGCAGTGGCAGGGCTTACCCGACTTGTGGCATTGGAGATGGATATGGAAGAAGCCCAGACCCAGGTGCAGAAGAACAAGCTGAAGGCTGTCAAGCCCCGTCCTCAACCTGTTGGTAAGAAAAAGGGTCAAGGTGTTGTGAGCAAGGAAGGCAGACCTGATATAGACAGTGGTAACACTGGTGCTGCTGGAATTAGCAGCAAAGCAGCAGTTCTTGGAGAGGATGTTGATGAAGACTTCCTGCCTAGTGACAACAATGAAGACACTTTAGATATTCAGAAAAGGAGGAAAGGATGGAAAATGACACCACATCAATCACTGAAGGCTGCCATCAATAATGCTTGCAAGAAAACGATGTTGGAATCAGGGATTGCTGATGATGATCGATATCAAGCATGTGCACAGACAAACAAGAAAGGCAACTCTTTGCCATGAGTTGCACTTTAATCTCAAACCACAATGTTGATGCTCACTGAATCTACACTATTCTTTGTCAATTCATGGAAAACAAGAGCAAAGTCAAGTCTGGGTGGCCATATCCAGAACTGGAGGACAACCATTCCACAGAAGCTGGCCAGCTCAACTGCTTCTCAGTCTAATTCATTTGCAAGTGCCCAGCCTCCACCTTCCACCATTTTATCAAGGTCTCAAAAATCTGTGTCAAGTGCCACCACTTCTTTAAATTCTCACCTGAATCAGCCACCTACTAAACTTTCAGCTGTTTGTGAGGATGACTCAGCCCTGGTTGGAGCATTTGGAGATGAGGACCTTGATGACTCACATGAGCATGAGGTTGTGCTAGCTATGAAAGGGAAAGTACCCATAAAGGTGTGTCAGCAGTTGAACACACTCCTTGTACTGATGTCTTCCAAGTCTGTTGTTGCATTTACAGAGGAAATGGATCCTGACCTAGTGCTGCTGCCTCTAGCTCAAAGGCAAGACAGAGCCACCTCTGGGACCAAGAGGAAGACTCTCCATGATGATGTCCTTGAATTCTCTGATTGTAGCAATGACTTGATGTCGCCGATTGATGATATTGAACCACTGGACAGCAACAAGGACTCAGAGATTATGGATGTCAATGAATTCAAGGCAGTGGTCACAAAGCAGCCAGTCAAAGCCAAAGTGAAGGTAGAACAAGCTCCACGCACCACAACTTCAGTATTTCCCCCCTGTCTTATGTTTTCACCACTAATTTTGAGGTAGACATCAGTCACTACCACATCTAGCAAGGCCCCCCCTTTGAAGAAAGTAAAAGCTGAGAAGGAGCATACAGCAACCATGGTGCTAAAGAGCAATAGCAGCTGGGTGGAATCTGTGTTGAAGGCACACTCAACATATCTGAACACTGACCTTCCTCCTGGTTACCATAAAGACACCAAGTGGGATCACATTTTTGTACTGACCATTTTTCTCTGGCTGGGTGCGCAAGAAGAGCCCTGGATGATCCCTGACAAGAACCTTCTTCATGCGTGCTGTGAAATATTCAAGGTCATCTATCCAGACATCAAGTACCAGGTTGTGATGTCTGGTTCAGTTTTCGGTATTGTAAGTCCATGTTTTGTTTTATTGAATAATATGATTGATTTCATGTTTTTAGGTCACCCAACACATCATTGAATGGTGCAGCAATTTCAGATCTACTGCATTTGCCATCATCATTGCTTTTTGCACCTCAAACAGAGACACCTCAGCAAAGGAGCTCTTAACCCTCTTCCTTCAACAATATGTGTTCCTGTACCCGAATCCTGATGAAATCAATAAAGACAAAACCTTCCATTCTGCCTTTGTTCTGGAGCTTCTTGCTACTGCCCATCTCTATCACACTCTTGGGCATGCTGATGTTCCCACTCTTGATACTGATAATCTAGCTCAGGGTGGCTTTGTTGGAGCTCTTGGATTATGTGCTGTCTCAGTGTGTCAATTTCTCATGCCTGTTTTGACCAGGATGGGCTGATATTTGTTTTCCAGCTCAAACATGCATTTGCTCTGCTCGGCAACAATGCTGTCAGCATCAAAAATTTGGAGGATGCAGACATGCCAACCACAGCACAGAAGACTTGTTTCAAGACCCCAAAGACACTCAACAAGGCTACTGGGAAGAAGACAGGAACTGAGCATGCATTCTCAGTTGTTAAATGGGGGATGAAAACTGCTGCATTTGTTTTGGCAGCAAACAAGAAGGGCCAAGAAGCAACATGCCTGATGGCATCCATGGCATACAAGCACTTGAAAAAGCCTGGTGGTAAGAAATATGCCAGCATCAACTCAGAGGACAAAATGGATGACTGTGAAGATGTCTGGTAATTTGTGCTCAAGATTTATCCTAGCCATCCTACTAAATTCTTTATTTTTCTTTCAGATTTAATCACAGCACATTTCTCCCCCCCTCATATTATCTGTACCTTTTGCTCCTTTATGTCATGGTTTGCACTGTTGTTTTCTTTTTTCTACTGCATTTTCCTCCTTTCATGCAGCTTTTAATGACTTTCTCTGTCATTTATGCATCTTTTTGTCTGGCTTGATTACCTCCTATTCCATCTTTGAATCTTCTGCAGTCACTTTTCTGATGATATCTAGGACATTCTAATGACATATTTTTGCTCTTTTGTGAGTTTTTTCATCTTGTGCAGCACATGAAAAGTTGGCACAAGACAAATTGAGACAGTTTAAGAAAGCAAGTGGCCTTGACATGTCTTTTGAGACTCAGGCTCATTTTGTGGCTTATATCATGGGAAAATATCAAAAAGGCAGGTTAAGTCATCTGTGATTTTGCTGATGCAGATTGTACAGATTGTACAGATTGTACAGATTGCACAGACTTAGACAAACTTGACAATGTTCACAAAAGACAATTGAATGGACGGCAAAACAATGATGCAATTCAAAAGACTAGCACTATATAATGATATTGACATCCTCATTTGCTGAGCCACCATCTGAATCATTGCAAAGCCCATTCATCATCCCAGACTCAGCCCATTCCTCCAACATATCTTCAAGCTCTTGATGATGCTTGGGATATCCATTAACATATCAATGATTTTCATAGGGAGTTGAAATTGGACCTGCATTTATCAGTGGAAAGATCTGGGACTTTATCTGTACCAGTTTCACAGAACCCAGTTAGAACACCTTTTGCCTGTGGAGACTGATCAGCAGCGGAAATAAAATAAAATAAAATGAAATAATTATACAACAGTGGTTATGAGAATGATGCAATTAACAGGAATTGAGTGTTGGAATTTGTCTGTTAACTTCAGCGCTTTTTTGCCATTGCTGTAGTAAAAATCTTGGCATGCATCTTTAAGAACCTGTGATATGAAGTTCTTGTACTTGCCCTAAAAAATCAATACAACAAGATATTACCCCATGCAGTCATCACTGACCTCAGACAAGTCAGGAAGCTGAAGGTAGTTGCTGGACTTGATCAGTTTAGATGCTGCTTCAGTAACATGTTTCTGCACTGAGTGCTCATGCATCATGCTGCCCTTCGGAAAGATGCCATATAATTGTTTCACAAGAAAGATGATGATTTTCTTGAGCTCTGTATGGAATGTAAACAAGTTGTTGCAAAGCTAATCACTTGTCAGTAAGCATGCTCACAGACAGTACCCTGTACTCACCAACTATGACATCTGGTCACCATATTCTGGAAAATATCCTATGGACATCAGATTGGAACCTCTGTTAAGAACCATGCTCAAGGGAGAGACAGACTGACTCAGAGGGGCTTGGCCTCAGCTCATACACTGTGCCCCTTACCCAAGTATGTGCCCTTCATTTCAGAGGAAGTCTGATGATGGTCTGACAAAGTCCAGAGGACTTCTGGAGGCTGGCTACTCTGGTGGAGAGTGCTAGAGGACTTCCAGAGGAGTGCGGGAGATTTCTGGAGGAATGCAGGAAGTGCTCAGGAGAGTTCCCACTGCAAGGTAATACTTCTACAGGAAACAGGATGGAAGGATAGGAGGTCTAGAGGACAGGAGGACTAAAGTTCCAGAGGACAGGATGTCCAAGGGTTAGGAGGATGGAACATCCAAAGGACAGGACACCCAGAGGTGCACAGGACAGGATGTCCAAAGGTCTGGAAGGAATAGGGGCTACATCGGACGAAGTCCAATGTAGAAGCAAACAGAGGTAGACTACCCTTAGGTAGAGTTGGAGAGACAGGAAGTGGACCAAAGTCTGGAGAGAGGGTAAGTGCCAGAAAGGCAAGACTTCAGCCCAGGGAAGCAATCCCTAGACTTGGGACAGAGACATAGGGGACAAATCCGAAGGTCTGGAATTCCAGCCTAGGGAATCCATCCCTAGGCCTTATGGAAAAGGACAAACTCAGATGGACTGAAGTATGGAAGAAGATTGGCAAGTAGAACAGGATCTAAGATGATGAGGACAGATCTAAGATGATATTTGGACTGAGGACTCTACAGGAGTTGTACAGGGGTTATATACTAGAGGATATCCGAGAGGATTAGTAAGCAATGGAGCAAGACTATGTATGAGCATGTGGAAACACATTGGTAAGTAAGATGGAACATAACTAAATGAACTCAGAGATGAAACTAGTACAAGGATCAATCAGCAAGATGGAAACAGAGATAACTGAGAACCAGTGTAGGGAATGAGATTCCTCTAGGCATATATCACCCATATTATGACTCATGACAATTGGTATAGTGTACAACTCACCATCTATGACTTTCCCACAAAATGTGCCAGAGGCACGACACTTTCCTGCACTATGTGACACATTCCTGTGCACACGCTTAGCGCGCTCTTCCTGCGCTTGGTTGCCTTATGTCACACAGCATCTGGGAGCATTCATCCATCATCCAACCAGTCCCCTAGTGAGTCCCTTTTCATTTATTTCTCATATCAGACCATTTCTGGTATCATATGATATATTATTCCATCATGGACCCTTATTTACATCATTTACATACTTAGAGCACTCCCTATTTGCTTCCGAGCCCTGGGAGTGCACCAAGGCACAGCTTACCTGTGGCCTAGGAAGTTTTCATACACCAACCACCATCATGTCACTTAGTATCTCATAGTGAGAATCATCATCTTCAGTTAGCATGCTTCAGTCATTGCCCTAGCCCTCAGCAACAGTCCATCAGCATCAGTCACTATTCAGCAGTCCCAGTTTACATCTTCACACCATTCACTAGTTTTTTTACATGTTCATGCACAGCTTGCGCCTTATTCCCACGCTTCGTGCTCCTACATGCTCCATATTCCCACAAGTGCACTTCACCAGAGTTGACCTGGTGTCACTTAGTGGATATTTGCTTTCTTTGCTTCCCTTAAGGGTCAAACATATCACCTGGTGCACTTCAACCAACATCTAGAGAGTCAGTAGGCTTTCCTCTCACCCCAGAGGTAGAGCTCTCTTTCTTTCTTTTGCCCTGCAAGCCAGCAGAGCTGTTGAA